CTTCATGACATTTTGTAGATGATAGTGATATCTTTATTTCAAAACATTTAAAAAATCAAACAATTCGAAAATTTCAAATAAATTTAACCATGTTGAATTTAACATTTTAAAAGTAGTAAGTTATAAGATAAAAATATAAACTATCTAACATGCTAACATCTCAAAATGGAAGATGAATCCAATAGTAATTTATTCTTGATGAAGGAATTGAGAAAATGGTAAGAAAGTTAAGGTTTGTTAATCATAGAAGAAATCGGTTTATGCTTACTATTCAAAATCTTTTTTTTTTTAATTAAAAAATTCATATTACTCAATATATTATACATATATCCAACGTTTATAGTATGCAAATTAAATCATCACATAATAGCATTAATGATCATTAAATGCTCCCAAAAAGGTATTACTAAGGGTAATTTGGACATTTCACACAAAAGTGACATTTTTAGCACAATTTGTAAAAGTGACAAATTTTGGTATATTTTTAAATTTAGCGAAATCCATGAAAAATCCCCATAAAACTAATTGTTTCGCATTTCTAAAAATTTGTTATGTGACCTATACAGATCTATAAAATAAGACATTGTGAAACTGTGCCAAAGATGAGCAGAGAGTCAAATGACATTGCTCAAAGTTTATGGTAGTTGCCTCTTTTGATAGAAAGTTGATTTTAGATGTAGAATGTTTTTTTGAAGTCCTTTAAGATGCTTGGACTAAGGTGTTTGCAGATTGATAACACCGTATTACTGTAATTTTTAATCTGCAAGAACGAAGTTGCCATGAACCCAATAAACAATGTGTTCGTTTAGATCTGTGCTCTCTTTGTTCCACCATTTTTTGAATGTGTATTTGTGAGGTGTTTCTTTAGATCAATGATTGGTAATATATTTTTTAGTGTGTTGATGTAAAAAAATTGGCATTTTCGTTTTGTGGAAAAGTAAACGTAAAAAAATGTTTGCTCTCAAAAAAGTTTTAGGCATATTTTCGTAAACAGAAAAACATAGGATTTCTATATTTATTTAGGTATAAATACTTTTTTTTTGGGAATGTTAACTACATCCTGAAATATTTATAAAAAAACCAAGAAATCCAGGTTGTATAGCTTGTTCTGGCCAATTTTTTTGGTAGGTTTTAGGTAGGAATCCTACCAAGCAGAAGAATAGACGGCAGATAATAAGATTCTTGAGAGAGAAAAGGAAACTGAATAGGCAAGAGATAAAGGAAAAAAGGATGATAAATGTGAATGAATTAGTGTGTATTTACATGAGAGATAAAGTAGTGAACTTTGGCCTATGCACTTTTCATTGTTAATACATCAATAGTAATTGCTAATGTACAAAACATAGATCTGTGAAAATGATTTTATTTGTTTCAATTGGAACAGATGGTGAACAAGAAATTGTAGATGTCAAAGATTACAACTTTACTCAAGGTGTTGGACGTGGGGCCGTTGATGTGGATGTGACTCAACAGCTGCATAGCGAAGGTTTTAGTGGTACATTTGTTCCACTGAAAGGAAATTCATGGAGAAAAATGTGTACAAAATTATTTGTTGCGCGACATGAATTGCAGCTAGGTTATGAAATGTGGACAAGGAAATCTAGACATATTGCTATGTTAAGAGGTAAGCATCTTCTATTGGAGGCATAATTCTTGTTTTTTATCTATTATAAAAAATTTGACTCCATTTTTTTTTAGCTATGTCCAGCTCAAGAGCTTGATGGACACCGATTAGTCGGCCATGAACGTCTAGGTTCCACGGATAGTGTTCCAAATTGGGATGATTTTGAACCTGAAAGAGGTAAGTTTGTAGATTTTAGCCACTTGGTTACCTATATTTATTAATTTGAATTCACTGCATGAGCTGTCTTCACCCCTCATTACTGAAATGCTATTTGTATTTCTTAATATTAATGATGACTCATTTTATTGTAGTTGTTGACTGAAGTTATGGTGTATCTTCGAGACCTGGATTTAGTACAACAGAACGTATGTCCATGAACATGATCGACTTAGAATTGATGAAGTTGTACAAAATAATGAGTGTACTAAAAAAATTAATTTGCAGAACATTCTGACTAAATCCCATGTACTTGTCCAGTCAACTATTTGTGAATATTGTGGTTGCAAAAATTTCATAGAGAAAGTAAGGGGTTTTGTTGTTCAGATGGAAAAGCTAAATTGCGTATACATAGTGCATCTAATGATTATATGAATTATTTACTTCAAATTCACCCGAAGCATTGAATTTCAAAAAAGTTACAAGATCTTATAACAATCATTTTGCATTCACATCATTTTCGGTGTCCAGCATGACAAAGATTTGTGTAAGATAAACAAATGCATCTATTCATTTAGGGTTCAAGGACAAGTTTACCATTACATAAATCAACTTTTACAATGTAATAACAACTCAACTTATTTACAATTATACTTTTATGATAACGAAAGTGAACTACAAAATTGATTGAACATTTCAGATAAATTTTGTGAATCAACTTTATGAATTTTGATTGATATCCTAAGAATTAATCCTTACTCTAGATTCTTTCGTTTATTGAACAATAATGATAGTTTACATACATGTCAAATAAAAATAAGATGTGATCCTGATTTAGACCAAAGAGTCTACAACACACCAACAACTTTACAAGTAGCTGTAGTTTGGGTTGATGAGGATCCATCCGCAAACAATAAAATCGTGATATATTGATATATGGCCATTCAAGCATTTCACATAGAGTGCATTATTATTTTGGTTTTTATGATCCCCTTCAATACCCATTGCTCTTTCCTTATGGTGAGTCCGAATGGTATGAGGGTATTGAAAGATTCAGTAAAGAAACACTTCATCGTTCTTTTGCACAAGAGAAACTTTTAAATATTAGTAGCATAAATTCTGTAAGTGAATTAATTAAAAGAGAGACTCAAGGTTAATAATGTGAAAATTATTTTTTTCATTTCTTTTTTTTTCACGAATTTAATTTGTTTGATTTTTTTTCTTATCTTGTAGTTATGAAGAAGGAAAAGAAAAGGTCACGTGTGTCTTGTCATGAGTATTATTGCTACAAATTACAAGTTCGTAACTCAGATAATGTATTTTGCTCCATGCTGGTGGGCTCTTACAACAATATGTTGTTGATATGTATGTGAAATCTGAAACTGGTAGATTAGATTACTTTCGTAATAACCAAAAACAAATATGGGCATAACTTTATCAAGGAATTGTTGATAGTGTTGAAATAGGTGAAAGTAGAGGTTATAAGATCGGTCGAAGAGTTATTTTACCATCGTTATTCATCGGTGGACCTAGGGATGATAAAATCAAGGAAGGGAAGCTGAAATTATTGGAGAAAAATAACTGAGACCAACAGAAATTAAAAGAACTGAAAAACAGAGAAAAATGAAGGAACCGGGATAGGCCTGTTGAATAGCAGGGAAGTAGATGAACTATTTCATTCAATCATGCTTAAGGAAAATACAATGCAACCTATTCTATTTATAGAAGAAATAGCTAACCAATTATCTAACAAACTAACAATATAACAAAAATAAGAAGAGACTAGAAGAAGTTAGAAGGAACTGAATTGAACTGGAACGTGCAACTTGCTGGTGACCGATTTACTGGTAAACTTGCTAATGGTCTCTTGCTGTTGGGCTGCTGGTCAACGTGTGATCTGTTTAATTGGAGAGTTGCTCATGGTCTTGCTGTTGGGCTACTGTTGAGCTGAGTTTAATATTACAATACTCCCCCCTCAAGATGGAACATCTTGAACCTTAGAGAAGGAGAGTAGAGATGCAATCAAGGAGCATCTTGTTTCATTTCAATTCCCTTTTTGATTTCCTATCTGGGAATAAATCATCCATCCTCATAGCCACTTTGTCTGCCTTCAATTTCATTTTGATTTCCTATCTAGGAATCAATCAATCATTTTGGGAAGATCTTGAGAAGCCTGTCATTCCTTGCAGGTTCTATCTTCAATTTCGTTTCAGTTTGATGAAGAGGAACAACATCTCTTCAGTTTTCATCCATTCCGACATTTCGTCGAACATTTAGTGAGCCAAGTCACTTTCCTGTTTTCTGGTTTTCTGTGTTTCTGATTTTGGTTTTTTTTTTTGATAGATTCAATTTAGAATAGAAAGAGAAGAAGGTGAGAAGGATCAGAAACCTGCTCTGATAATCAAGGATGGGAAGCTGAAATTATTGGACAAAAATAACAGAGACCAACATAAATAAAAGAACTGAAAAACAGAGAAAAATGAAGGAACCAGGATAGGCCCGTTGAATAGCAGGGAAGTAGATGAACTATTTCATTCAATCATGCTTAAGGAAAATACAATGCAACCTATTCTATTTATAGAAGAAATAGCTAACCAATTATCTAACAAACTAACAATATAACAAAAATAAGAAGAGACTAGAAGAAGCTAGAAGGAACTGAATTGAACCGGAACGTGCAACTTGCTGGTGACCGGTTTACTGGTAAACTTGCTAATGGTCTTGCTGTTGGGCTGCTGGTCAACGTGTGATCTGTTTAATTGGAGAGCTGCTGATGGTCTTGCTGTTGGGCTGCTGGTGAGCTGAGTTTAATAATCCAACAAGGGATAATAAAAAAAGATACATGGATGCAATGACATTAGTTCAAAGACATGGTAAACCTAATGTGTTTTTAACAATAACTCGTAACCCTAATTGGCAATAAATAAATCAAGAACTAAGGCACAATGATGAAATGCAAAATAGACCTGATTTAATTGTATGAATATTTAGAGTTAAACTGGAGGATCAAAAAAATGATTTATTTGAAAGATAGATTTCGGGACCCGTTGCTGCGTACATATATGTAATCGAATTCCAAAAGAGAGGTCTTCCGCATGCTCATTTTTTGTTAATTTTAAAATCTGGATCAAAAGTTACTTCCACATGCTCATTTTTTGTTAATTTTAAAATCTGGATCAAAAGTTACTTCAATTGATTTGACTGACGAAGCATCTCAAAAATGGTGGAAGGCAGAGTAGTTATCGTCTCCGCTCTACAATTCGCTTGCTCCGATGATGTCTCCACAAACGTAGATACTGCCGAAAGATTGGTCAGAGCAGCTCATCAGAAGGGTGCAAAAATCATTCTTATACAGGAGTTATTTGAGGGTTATTACGTCTGTCAAGCACAGAGGGAGGATTTCTTTCAGCGTTCTAAACCCTATAAGGATCACCCTACAATATTGAGGATGCAGAATCTTGCAAAAGAATTGGGAGTAGTAATACCAGTTAGCTTCTTTGAGGAGACAAACAACGCACATTACAATTCAGTGGCTGTAATTGATGCTGATGGAACTGATCTTGGACTTTATAGAAAGTCACATATCCCAGATGGGCCAGGTTACCAGGAGAAATTTTACTTCAATCCAGGTGACACTGGTTTCAAGGTATTTCAAACTAAATTTACCAAAATTGGAGTAGGAATTTGCTGGGATCAGTGGTTTCCAGAGGCAGCTCGCGCTATGGCACTTCAAGGTGCCGAAATATTGTTCTACCCCACAATCACTGCAAGCGAGTAATGCAGGGGCATGCCGGGGCTAATTTGGTACCTTTAGTTGCTTCAAACCGAATAGGAAAGGAGATAATTCAGACAGAACATGGCAAAAGTGAGATCACATTCTACGGGAACTCTTTCATAGCAGGACCCACAGGAGAAATAGTTGCTACTGCTGATGATAATGAAGAAGCAGTTCTTGTCGCAGAATTTGATCTGGATAAAATTAAATCCAAGAGATATAGCTGGGGGGTGTTTCTTGATCGGCGTCCGGACTTATACAAGGTTCTTTTGACCTTAGATGGCAGCAACATATCTCTATGATTTATCAATGCTTTCTGATGGAGATGATCAACAAAAAACCAAGCATGTTTATTTTTTTACGTTTTTTAATGGTAGATTGATCAATTGAGAATCATATGTTTGAACATCAGTCTGATGGAGATGGTGAACAACAACATCAAGCATGTTTATTTTTTTACGTTTTTCTATGGTGGATTGATCAATTGAGAATAATAAGTTTGAACATCAGTCTGAAAAAAAAAAGTTGATTTGATTGATAAAATTGTTTGTTCTAAAATTCCAAACAAAAATATTATCCCTATTTACATCCTATTGTTGTAAAACCTATGTTGCATGGTCCGTGTAGAGCATTAAATCCGAATAATATTTGTATGGAAAATAATAAAATATGCCAAAATAAGTACCCAAGAGAATGTGAAATGACAACTTCACTTGTCGACGATTCATATCCACGAAATAGATGTTGCAATGATGGTCAAAAGGTTAAGGTTAGAGGACATATATTAGATAATATATGGATTGTACCTTACAATCCTTATCTAATAGCTGAATATGATTGCCATATCAATGTAGAAATATGTTCAACTATTAAAGTTGTCAAATATTTGTATAAATATGTTTGTAAAGGACATGATCGAATAACGTTTTCCATAAATGGCAATGAACAAGATGTTGATACTGATGAAATTTCAAGATATCAAACTATTAGGTGGATTTCTCCACTTGAAGTGATGTGAAGAATTTATGGATTTGTGTTATCTGAAATGTCTCATCAGTTGTTTCACTACAATTGCATCCCAAAGACCATCAACTTATTACATATAGAGACCTTGATAATTTGCAAGTAGTTATTAGTAGAGATTCTAAGTGAAGGACAATGTTAATTGAATTCTTTTGTACCAAACTTACAAATGAAAAAGCCAAGACACTTTTGTATAGAAATTTCCCTTCTTATTTTGTGTAGGATGGAAACGAACGGATTTGGACCCCTAGAAAGCAAAAGAATGTAATTGGTAGAATAGTTACAACTAATCTATATGAAGGTGAAATATGTTACTTATGTATTTTGTTAAATCACATTAAGGGATCAACTTCTTTTGAACATCTAAAAGTCGTAAATGGTGTATTGGCATCTACATTTCATGAAGCAGCTTTGCATGGTTTACTAAGTGAAAATAATAATTGTGAGTTATTTTTAGCAGAGGTGATTGTTTACCAAATGTCCATTTCATTGCGTGGGTTATTTGCTACCATATTGACCTTTTGTAGTTCTAACAATCCACATTCAGTATGGGATAAGTTTAAAAATTATATGTTAGAAGATTTCATAGAAGAAGATATGTCATTTAGTGCTACTCAAATAAAAAACATTGCAGTGTATAAATTCTATATTAGAACCATTGAACAAAAATATAAACAATTAACAATTGGTGATGTTTAATATAATCATGAGCGGAGATGAAAAATTGGCTACCATGATTTCTCAATAGATGAGTAATGGTGGTAATCAAAAGGTTAATTGTGATACAAACATTTTAAATAAAGAGAAAAAGTATGCTTTTGTTTATGCACACGTTATTACAGATGGTAGAGACAACAAAGTTCATGGTAAGAATATATAAATTAAGTCCCAGTAAATTATATTTTCAATTGTGGGGTTTTTATGTTGTTCTGTTCTCTTCGGTCATCGGTGTAACTAGATTAATGCTTGTTTGTTGATGTTTTCTCTATCGAACTGTCAACTACGAATTCTCTATAGGTCAAATATGGTGTGTGTTACATTTTTGATGTAATTGACAAATCTATGAACGAAAGGGACTAGATTTAATGTATTGTAAAGGTCAAAAGAAAAGTACAAATATTATAAATTGAGTTGTATTATGTTTAGGGTTCGAGAATAGAAAAATGGAAAAACGGCACCGTAATTTCGCTAGACTATCACCATGACTTTACTCGAGAGGTAGAAACAGAAACATTGTCTCTAGCGTGTCGCCTAGCCTTCACTCGAGCGATAAGGTTATCCGAAGAATTTTAATTTGTGTTATCAAGACTTTTTATCCGGCCCATTCATTCCTAAACCTACAGTAAAATATCAAAACACCCTTGAACGTCGTTTCTTAAGGTTAAACATTATTAAAACATTGATTACTTCATATTCTCTCTATCCATAACTTTCAACCTTCATTGATTGTTTTATCTTTGGTATTGAAAACATCAAAACCATTTAATCCAAATACCAAATTGCTACTTCCTACACATATGTCAGAGTGCTGAAGATCAAAGAAAGGTTACTGGAGTTCCAGTTGTTGGAGAACACAAAGTTCTTCGTTGATCCATGAGAAATCGACCAATTCATAAAGTCGGGAGTTGGTGTAGGAGTGCGCAATCCAGGAGAACTTTGAAAACTGCAGCTGGAAGTTGGTGTAGGAGAACTGTGAGAATTGCAGTCAGGAAGTCAGAAAGTACTAGTGGTAGTCGAGTCTAGCGGACTGTAAGTTCTAATTCATTTATAGTAGATTGTTGACTAGCAACGTGCCCGAAATTTTTAACCAGTTGGGGTTTTTCTGTGACCATCCCTGGAGTTTATTTGTTGCTTTCATATAACTGCGATATTTCAACATAGAAAATTGGACTATTTGATTAACCATCTAGTGATAATTAATAGTGACTTGCTGCTACTTAATTACTAAGTTTTAATTCCACATAATCACCTATTCATCCCCCTCTAGGTGTAGTTTGGGTCGAACCTTATTATTTCAATTGGTATTAGAGCCACATTTAGATTCCTGACCTATAAATTTATCTAGATGAGTCAGTCTCTATCCGTGCCTTCGTTTTTTTACGGAAGCAACTATGCTTACTAGAAAGTTCTAATGAGAGCATTCCTTAAAGCATTGGATGAGCGTATTTGGATCAGTGTACAAAATGATTGGACTCCACCTTCATCTACTGTTGCTGGTGTTGTTACACCCACTGACATTTCTCTTTGGACCAAAGATCAAGTAGTTGGTTGCAATTGGAATAGTAAAGGGCTTTATGCTCTATTTATAGCTGTGTCTGTAGAGGAGTTTAGTAGAGTGTTGATGTGTGAAATTGCTAAAGAGGTTTGTGATATCTTAGAGACCACACACGAGGATACTAAAACTATTAAGAACTTCAAACTGCAAATGTTTATCTCTGGGTTTGAAGAAATTAGAATGAAGGATGATGAATCGTTCGATAAATTCTATGCGAAGATTAATGATATAGTAAACTCGAGTTTCAACCTAGGTGAGAATATCCATGAGTATAAGATACTTCGAAAAGTCTTTAGATCCTTACCTGAAGGTTTAATCCTAAGATCACCGCTATTGAAGAAAGTAACGACTTAGATGAAGTTAAGATAGTGGAACTCGTAGGATCTCTCCAAACCTATAAACTCACCATTTCTCAACCAAAGAAGGTTAAATACATAGCCATGAACACCATTAGGGAAGAAGAGAGTGAGTTTATTGACACTGAGACCCTTAGGGACGACAAAATAGCTTATTTCGTGAAAAAATTTCAAAAGATGATGAGGAATATGAGAAAACCTCACGATTGGAAAAATGATGTTCCTAGTAAATTCTTGAAAGATAAGCTTGAGAAGAATAATCGTAGGATTGGTCACTATAGGAATACATGTCCTAATTTGAAGAAGAATTTGAATAAAGGAAGGAGTAAGGCATTAGCAGTGACTTTGAGTGATGATGAATCAAATTCGAGTATTTAGAGTGATACCTCTGGTGGTGAGGATGAACAAAATTTTATGGCTTTCACATCTAGAGCTAAGATTGAATTTGATAAGGAGAATCAAACAGTGGAGAATGATGAACATATCGAGAATTCTGAGGATGTCTCTGAGGATGAAACCGATATTCATGAGTCTTATCGATAATTATTTGAGGAAAGCCTTAAAATCAAAAAGGTCAATAAAGCCGTACTAAAAAGGTGAATGAACTTGAAAGAGAGAGAGAGACTCTTAGGTGACCTTCAGGATTATACCAAAAATTTGGGTGAGTTAAAGCTGGTAAATGAGAATCTAGAAGCTAAAGTCAAATCCTTAACAAGTGATCTAGAAAAATCTAATACTCAACTTCATTACTTTTTGAGTGGTACTCAAAAACTCGATAATCTGTTAAGGATGAACAAGCCTGCTGTAAATAGGCATGGTCTAGGATACGTTCAAAATAGTAATACTAGTGCTAGTACTTCCAAGACCACGTTCGTCCCAGCCACCAACAAGATTATGAATATTGCTAAACCTGAACCCAAGGGTAAGAATGCCTTAGGATTGGACCTACTAGACAACGTAGGATCAATCGTCCTATAAATCAGCAACAACATCCGAGTAGGTTTGAACCTAGGTTTATTCCCACATGTCACCATTGTAGCGTACTGGGACACACAAGACCTAGGTGTCATAAACTTGTGACTGGAAGTAAAAGTCAGCATATCTCGAGCAATGTTAACTTTTTCGCCAATTAGGTTAGCCACTTAACTAAGATAATGACTCGATTAGTTAGAATCAATTGTACTTCTAAGAAGTTTTGAGTTAAGAAGAGTGAACTAAAAGGTCGTGAGACTAATCATGCTCTTGAAGGTAAGAACATCCATGTACCTCTTTGATTAGGTACTTAGGTGCATGCATGTATAGTTCAATGAGTCCATTCATTCTCACATGCATCTTTTTTTTTTTTTTTTTTTT